TTTTTGTTCTTAAACAGTCTTGGCTATTTTGAGCTATTTTAATTTTGGGGGAGACTAAAAACAAAAACTTTAAGTGGCAAGAGAGGTCAGACAGTAAAATAACTGCTTGAGATGTATGAAAAGCTGGTCTGGGTAATAGTGTTGTTCTGGGATTTTGCCCAGGGACCGAGTGTTTGTGTTTCTTTTATCCTAACATACAGGGAATCCTGAGCCCCATTACCTCCACTAATATTCTGAGCCCTGGCTAGACTCCTGAGACTTTTTATTTTCCCAATTTTTGGAAATGACTCTTTCTAATCCATTCAACACAAAGAACTCAGTGAGTTGGGTATCTATTGCAGAGCCAGAAGTCTTCCACACGGTGCCTCCCAGGATAAAAGCCAGTGTATGTGGCCCTAGGTGAGCTGCACAGTCCCAGGATGCCCCTAGAAGAAGAGGATAGTAAATCATTTCTGAGTGTTTTATATCTAGAAAACCCTGGAAAAAGGTTGCCATGTGCTGGAATCAATCTGATGGCATGTCGTTGTTGTTGGTTTCTCTAACCAACTTCATCACGAGATCAAACCAGTCATCATGATCAGCAATTTCCATTGCTGCCATTATCTATCTATCTATCTATCTATCTATCTATCTATCTATCTATCTATCTATCTATCTATCTATCTATCTATCTATCTATCTATCTATCTATCTATCTATCTATCTATCTATCTATCTATCCATACCCCGCCTAGCTGGTCATTGCGACCACTCTAGTTGGCTTACAACACAAAATACATAAACAAATATATAAAAAAAGAATTATTACACAATTAGACAATTCTGCAAGATGGAGAGCACACAAAATAAATCAAACAGATTTAGAGGAGGGGAGGGAATCAGGAATTAACTGGGAGGAAGGCCTGCCTAAACATCCACATTTTAAATTGATTTTTGAAAGTACCCAGCAAAGGAGCCGCGCAAATCTCCGGAGGCAGATTGTTCCAGAGGCGAGGAGCCACTGCAGAGAAGGCCCGGTTTCTTGTTTTTTCCTTTTGGGCCTCCCTCGGCGTCAGGCCATGCAGATGTACTGTGAAATGTTGCTACCCAACCTCTCAGAACAACCAAATGGTCATAACTGGATGGAAAATACATTATACGCTGTAATTTCTCAAGGGCAAGCTATGTTGGCCTGTAGTAGGTTGCAGCAGAACCAGAAAAGAATCATGTAGGATCTTAAAGATTAATGAATTTTATTTAACACATCTGGAGAAATGGACAATTGTCCACAAAAGCTTATACCAAATACAACTTCCTAGTCATTTGAGATGTAACAAGATTCATTGTTTGTTTTGCTGAAACATCCTGTGTGGACTCCATTTTGTCTTATAGCCTCTCTTTTGCCACTGAGAGATTATGCCACTGAGAAGTTGAAGTAAATCCAGGACCCAGCTCACCTGGTGTCTTGATAGCACCCTGTGGAGCAATGTGGAGTGAAATGGTTCTGACGGCATGGGCCTGCTTTACAAGTGCTTGCATACCTTACATGGGCATACTAGAACTCTCTCTCAGCCTTGACCAACCAGAAGAGTGGTCACTGAGCCCATAGGAAAGGGCCAGGTGGGCATATCTGAGAGGGGAGGTTCTCTCTGCTGTCCACCTTAACAGTACAAAACTGTTCCCCACCAAGCTCCAGATTTCAGTCTCAAAGACCCTACCCACACTCCCTGTTACTTGTTTTGCACACCTTTATTGTGTTTTATTATGGATTTGGTGTTTGGCCTTATATGTATTCTGGCTCTTCTGTTTTGCAATATTTGGAGTATGATCCAGGCAATGAGCCTGATCCAAGGTGAGGTTAATGAGATTTATGTGCCAGCCCCATTTGAGGGAATCCCCTTGAAAGATCTTAGGATGAATTCTTTAAGAACAAACCCATTTTAGGATTTTCTGGGACTGCTTCCCTCCCAGGTGGTAGGAGAACCACATAGTGGCTTACACCCATATGGCGTTCACTCATTTGCTATACTTCCTGTGGTTTCTGCCAGCTGGTGTGCTGTGGGTGGAGGGTCATGGGCTGGCAGACATATTGCATGCCTGGATCTGTTGTGTTATATTATTGCAGCAAGGTACTTTAGTAGTAAGCAATATAGTCATGGCCAATTTCACTGCAGGAGTGTGTTCATGTGTTTTCTTTGCACTCGTCCCCTATTTTCCCTGCCTTTTACTGCTACGCAGCTGCCACCTGGGAGTTTCTCAGCATGATTAGGTATGGCACAAGAAGAACATAATATTTGCAAGCAGAATTGTTTTCCTTCAGCATTCTCATGGGGAAGGTTTCCTGTGTACAAAGCAACCCGTAATCTTCCTTTGTTAGGCTAACTAATTCCAGTTTTCCCTCCATCTCTTGTGATGTACCTTTCCTTCAGTTCAGCATGCTGTTGACTCAAAGCAGGAAATCTGAGGGATGTTTTGCCTGCTGAATGGTTATGTACCAGAGAAACTGATTTTTCATCGACACCCACTGCCAGTATTTGCATCACCCCCTGATTCTGCCAAGTCTGTACAGGCAGAGGATTAGCACAGATAGCTATGTCAGCCTGCCGTTGGAAAGCCGGTGTTTGTAGGTGTTTGTATACAGTATGCTGCACCAGAAAACCTTTGCCATGGCTCCTGCTGAAGAGAAGCAACAGCATTTCACCAGCAGGCAAGACCCTTAGGCAATTTACACTCAAGATGATTTCTCACTAAGCCTCCTCTTCTACCCCTTTACCCTGCACAACTTGGTCTGCATAATATGAGCAAGACTGCAATATGTGAAACTGCATTTTTGTCCTAAGCCATCACTTTATTTATATATACACAACATAATATGACTGATTATTGACCTGAACTTGGAATAGTTACTTTTTTAAAAACTACAGCTCCTGGAATTCTCCAGCCAGCACAGTTAGTCGCAATACTAGTTGAGGAATTTTGGCAGACACAGTCCAAAAAAGTTACGTTTCCTAATTCTACTATTGTTGTTATTAAAATTAGCCCCATGCCTATATCATGGGAACAAAAGGTAGGGTGTTTCTGTTTGTTGTTTAACATTTGTCTGCTGTGTTTATTTTCTCTGGTGTACATATTATCAGTCTACATCAGGGGTCAGGGAACTTTTTTACTTTTTACCCCCCACCCAAAATTTATTTATGTTGACATTACCCCCCTTGGTTCTTGCCATCCGCGGCTGACCCACACCCCTCCTGCACTCACCCGGGACCTGTGGCCACCGTTCAGGCAGCCAGTCTGGAGCTGCCACATCGCTGGGAAAGTGCGTCCTTGGAGAGGGGAGGGAAGGGGGCCTCCTTGCCAGTGCACTGGGCAGGTGGGCGCAGGCAGGAAGGAGAGCTCCGTCCAGGGCTCCACCGGGCAAAGAGTACAGCTGACCTGGTACGCCACCCTCCCCCCCGCTCCACCAGGCAAAGAGTACAGCTGGCCTGGTACGCCACCCTCCCCCCCCCCACTTTGGAGGTGAGGAGGACAGGTGGGTGCCCTGTGCAGTTCCTCACCAGGGCTCGCTCTTCTCGCGATGGAATGCCTGCCTACACACAGCATGGTCAGAAATAAAATGTCTGGGGGTAAAATGCCTGCAGCGACCATCCCCATTACCCCCAGGATTTTCATTTTTACCCCATTTGGGGTAATTTACCCCTGTTCCCTGACCACTGGTCTACATTATTAAATCATGGCTACATATTGTAGCTATGATCCAAATCCCATTTAGTGTTTGGGAGCCCTATCCCAGTGATTTCAACAGGCGAGACTTAAGCATGTGCCTTATTCTTCATCTGAAATCAGTGAAATCTAAAGGTATGAAATAAACCCCATGCATTTTAGCACAGAAGTTATTGGACAGCATCACCCAGCATTGGCTGTTGCTAGGGTCAATTAATACTGTTGTCCAACAACACTTCGTCTATTCCTCCTTTAAGCCCTACTCAGTTATTCTGTAATGTAGAATTATCAATATAGTTGGCTCTGCTTAAAATCCATTTCTTTTGCCTCAGACTCTTCTACTAATGAAGTGTGAGTTGTTAGAAGTCTCTTCTAATATTCAATCAAAATTCTGTCCTTGTCACTGGAATCAGGAACTCTCCTCCAGAAAATCTGAGAAGAAATTTATTCCATCATCTATATAGCAGCCTTTCAAATAACAGAAGATAACAGTCAAGAGATGCTCAGGCCAGTGCTTTCAGAAGAACAGAAATACTGGTGTGTCTAGGATGTCAATACTGTTAAGTTTCAGCGGTTGGCTTTCTGAGAATGAGAACGCTGGTACCTAAAATTCCCAGGCAAGAGTTCGTATTCTGACTGAAATTATTTAAGAACCCATAGCATCCTAATGAGTTAATATGTCTAATTAAGGGAGAATTAATGGTTTGCCATCAAAATCATTCAGCAGTAGGATGAATGAAAAGGATGAGTGAGAAGTTAAAGTTTAAAGAAAAATTACAGATTTCCCCATAGGATCTTCTGGATAGTTTTCCATCCTTCAACCCATTTGAGTTTTATATCTACAGTAGGATGAATGAGAAGGATGAGTGAGAAGTTAGAGTAAAGTTTAAAGAAAAATTACAGATTTCCTCATAGGATCTTCTGGATAGTTTTTCATCCTTCAACCCATTTGAGTTTTATATCTACAGTCTTCTGTTTGGGTTCAACACAGCTGGCTTCCTTTATAATTTTCTCATGATTGTGAAGAATCATTTGGGGAAGACTGTGAGAAAGGAGATTTGACCTCGTTCTTGCAAGTCTTGGGTTGACAGCTACAACTGACCTTCCTATGCAAAGGCTACTAGAAGTGAAGAAGGTGTAATAACTATACAAGTGCAATGAACTAAGTGCCAACAGGGAGTAACAGAAGTAGAGGCAACTAGCTTGAGTTTCCTAGAGCAAAGGATTATCATAGCACTTTGCACCTCTTTTGGATATACCTCCATCTTGGTTGCATCTCTTGGAAAGAAATGTTCAGGTAGCCATAGGAATATAGATTTTAATTGTGTTACTTGCTAATAACTAACCAGAACTGAAAGAGATCCACTGTACATTGTCTGGATGATACTGACAATTTCAACCACCAAAGGAAGTAGATGGGGGAAAAGTGAAATGCAATTAAAAAAAATAGCAGGCAGGACTGCACTCTAGCTTTGTCAAGTGTTCTGTGAAAGCTGTTATGAGGTGAACATCTTACTGTGTCGCTGATCACTGGTTATCATATGCCCAGTCCAGGTTTTGCAACTGGACCTTGGTGTGCAGTGGATTAAACCGAAATACTGAATACACACAACACAGACTGTATATGTGTGTGTACACACACACACTTGCAGGGACTAAAATCTGGGTCACTGATGCAAAGGCATCCATCTCTATACATTGATTTCTTGGCTATTGCATTTCAGCTTTCAGTCCTGTAGCAGAAGCAATATTCAACTCTAATTAGAGGAACTGTCAGTCAAGGCATCAAATTGGTTGCTCTCCCGCACACAGAAATGGCTTCATCCCTGCTACATGATTAGGAAATGCCCTGGAGGTTGTTTCAGGATTCTTTGAACCTGTCATGCCTAGAAATCTAATGTCATAGCAGGAACTATTGCACCGCCACAGGGCTTCCACGGGAAGAAATGAAGAGCCCACGACCACCATGGGTGCATTTTAAAGAGTACTGAGGCACACAAACTCTTGTACAGTCAGATTTTTGTTCTTCCTCTGTTTCCCCTACCAACTTGGAAGAATTCAGCTGAAGCCCTTAAGCTTCGATTGATGGCTGTGTCTAGAACATAATAATTCAGAGGATGGCAAAATAGTCTCACAGTTCACAGCTGATGGTGCTCTTCCTAATCCTTGGGATATCCCACCGCATATAACGAACCTTCATGTCCCTGTAGCAAAGCTGGCTCGTTCCCTGGTCATTCAGCGTTGACAGGAGGCGATGACTATAGATTCATCAATCTGTGGAGCTCAACAGCACAGGCGGCACCACATAGAAGAGTCTCGGCTAGCTAACAGTCAGAGCCACAAAACTGTAGCTACAAGGGTAAATAAGCAGCCTTCTCCAAACTACGCAGGGGAAGGAGTTTCAGGAGCGCAGCAGAGTGGGAAGGAAGGTGTAGGAAAGGTGTCAGTTCTTCTTGCACTGAATAATGCTGGATTGACACTCAGGATTGCAGAGCAGTTGCTTTCTCAGGCGTGTTGTTGTCAAGGAAGAATGTCTCTGGGCAGGCTAGCTAGGAGTCAGAGACACACAGAGCTTCTACTGCATCACTCAGGCCCTGGTTCACTCCACCTACAGCCAGGAGGCAGTTTTTTACTACAATGCTGGAGCAGGCACATCGTGGGGTGGGCATAGGTGGTAGGCATTCCCATTTGCTTTTCCCGGGATGAAAGGCCTCAGCTGATTCCAGAACAGTTGGCTGGTTTCCTGATGAGGAGGGGGGAGGAAGGGAGCAGAGAGAGAGACAGAGAGAGATACAGACAGACAGACAGACAGACAGCACACAAGAATATTAAGTGAAACAATCAAATACTTGATTCTGCACTTTTATAATACAATGCAAACCAATTTTTGAACAAAACAAAAAGAAACCACAACCTTTACCACACCCAATATATCATTTTAATGGAAAGTCAGCATAAATAGAGATATAAATTAGATGTTTAAATTGTCTGGCTCCCAACTTAAGAATCCTGGAGGCTGTAATTTTCTGATGCAGCCAGAAAATTACAAATAAATTCTGAGCAGCTCCACATAATTATAGTCTCCAGGATTTTTTTTGGGGGGGGGGAGGCGTGGATGAGAAACTCTGACCAATGCTGCAAAGACAAAAATTATAGTCTCCAGGACTTTTTTTGGGGGGGGAGGCGTGGATGAGAAACTCTGACATGTTCAGTTGAATTGGTAGTCTTGCCGTTCTCTTACCCCAGAAGATGGAATTGATTTTAGAAAAGTCCATGTTTCTTTGCACTTCTGAAGAAAGCATAGGCACAAGGAGAATATTTTTTAGGCTTGAAAATGAATTTATGGTGGCTTTCATGCCCTAGAAATAAAATGGTGTTGATTCTGGATTGTGTTCATGTTCAGGGCTACAGAAACAGTTCTGAATTTGTGGCATTCCATAACATATTTAGGACACCTTGTATTTTTATATAGTTCAAGTTTATGAAGATGTGGGATTTGTTTGGTTTCTACATTCCAGTTATCTGTAACATTTCTATATTTAACCTCTTTCTCTTTCATGTCATCTCTTCTCAGTCAGTTTCTTAAATCTAATGAAATAAGATTTTACCAGAATTTGAAAAAGTTACTTCTTTGCTCTAAACTACCCAGAATCTTAGCTATGTTATCCGGGGAAATCTGAGAGTTGTAGACCAAAGAAGTAACTTTTCCAAACTCTGGATTTTACCTCCAAAATGCTCCCACCATAGTAAACTAATTTCCGTGTTGGTAAAGCATTTTTTCTGTTTTTGTACACAGAGAGTAACTCTAGAAGACCACTAAAGGCCACAGATTGGAGTGGAGAATGTGTGGGCTCTGTGCACTATTGGGTTGCAACGTCCTTTCTTGTTGGCTATCCTGGCCAAGGCTGATGTGAGGTTCAGTCTCACAACATTTAGAGGGCCACACATTCCCCACCGCACCCTAGACTGTAGTCTGACAAGCAGAGACAGGTGGATTGGCTTTGTCAGGCTGATTGGCTTCCAAACTGTATTAGGAAAAAATGGCTGAAATCCTGTCATACTGCTACATATGTGGTACACAAACGGTGCAACATTCAGTCACATCTAGCTGGCAATTAATGAGTCCCTGCTGGGAATCATGAGCATGTACGAAGCCACAAGGATTACGTGCCCCCAAGAATCCCAGTGGGTGCTCATTAACTGCTACCTAGAAGTGACAGTGTTTTCCACTTGCCTTCTGTAATAAAGCAACAGGTTTTCATCAGTATGTGCAGTGAGGATGAGGCAACGTTAAGGTGAGATATGACTTGGTGATGAGATGGAAAAGTATACTAGAACTATTGATTTAATGAATATATAGTTCCAAAAGTTACAGAAGGATGTCTCGTTGAGGAGATGGGCACAAATCATTCTCACCTAATCCTCCAGCTACAATTATTCTTCCTTTCAAATACCCAGCTACAAAATCTGCTCGCCTTTTCTTCAGAAAGAATGAGCTCTCAGTCTTCATCCAGCCCCCTGAAAATTAACCAGATTATCTGTTAAGTAATTGTGATTCAATGAAATCAAGAAATGACATGTTCTACAATGACAGCATCAGGGAAAGGAGACATAGTTTGAATTTGTGTGTCTGACTACACAAATATTCTACATTTAGAATACAAAAACAAGCATATACAGTGGTGCCTCACATTATGATGTTAATTCGTTCCAGCAAAATCGCTGTATAATGAAAACATCGTAAAGCGAAATTAAAAAGCCATAGAAACGCATTAAAACCCGATTAGTGCATTCCTATGGGCTTGCAGCCAATGCTGCAAAGACAAATACTGCATAGGAGCCTGGAATGTAAGATCTATGAACCTCGGGAAGCTGGAGGTGGTCAAACAGGAGATGGCAAGAATAAACATCGACATCCTGGGCATCAGTGAACTAAAATGGACAGGAATGGGCGAATTCAGCTCAGATGATTATCATATCTACTATTGTGGGCAAGAATCCCGTAGAAGGAATGGAGTAGCCTTCATAGTCAACAAAAGAATGGGAAAAGCTGTAATGGGATACAAACAAAACAAAAAACCACCCTCAAGTTCTTTTCATTTTTATAAGTAAAAAATGTGAATTTTGGCGAATTCAGATAAAAAATAACAATTCATCACTAATTACTAGTATTTATTTCTGTGACATACTCTTCCATATTGTCCCTTTAAGTAGTGGATAGTAGAGACCGAGGGAGACCAAGGAGGAGCTCACCTTGCTCAATGTCAAAGACATCTACATTCTTCATAAACTTGGGCTGACGATATAACCTCCCCTGCCGTAATCCTCCAAGGCTGAAGATGTTGTTCTCTGTGCACACAAAGCTGGAGAAAGCTCTTTTGCTGGGAATGTTGGGGAATTTGGTCCAAGTTCGGGTCTCAGTATCAAAGACTTCAAAGGCATTCACAGCATATTTTGATTGCCTTCCACCTAGGATGAAAAGTGTACAGTACAGCGTCAATTTTGATCAACAGCAAAATTTTGGATTTCTGTCCATTTGCATAATTTGGTCAGAACTAATGGGAGTTAAGGACATAATCTTAAACAAAATTTTAAGAGGAAATAAAGGGAAATGATAACTCTGTGTCCTTAATAGATTTTTCCCTCCAGCAATTATTAACTGGATGGTACCAAGCTACCATTTGGAGGATATGAAATTGGTTATTCCTAGATAATCCCTTAAATCACTTTTTAAAAAAGCAATTTGCATTATACTGATTGTTATTATGTGCCGTCAAATCAAAACCAACATGTAACAACCCTTTTAGGGCTTTCAAGGTAAGTGAGATATTTAAGGAGTGGTTTTACCAGTTCCACACCCCCAGTGAGTTTTCATGGCTGAGTGGGGATTTAAACCCAGGCTTCCTAAATCCTAGTCCATCACTCTATCCACTACACAACACTGGCTATTCTTCATACAGGTAGCTCATCATAAAGTAGATTTGATTGCTCCTTGAGATTATAATCCAGAACAATCACAAAGCAGGACATTTTATATCTATCTATAACTTTGTCAATATATCTATCTACACATAGCACATGGGCATGCCACTCCATAAATGTGATAGCTTGTTTGATAATGATTCATTGTATGAATTTGTTGACAACAGTCCATTCCAAAATGATTCTATGAGTTCTTCTTATCTACCATTCAGTCTCTTAGGTATTGTATAATGCCATCATTCATATGAAGGCTATTTCAATCATTTAGAAAACGCTGAAGTTGTTCTTCTACAAATTTATTTTCTTTTCACTGTTTGTCTATTCATATTTACACTTGATCTTGTGAAACACACTTGTTAAAATGTATTGGGTGACCTCTAACACAATCTTGCATAGTGAGTGTCAACAGGGCTGGAGAATTATTGGCTTGGGGGATTTCTCCAGAAGTGGAAAAATATATATATAATTTAAAAGAAAATAAAAATAAAAATGTAAAAATAGGTCAATGCAGACTAAGCATGCTCAGTAGCCACAGAATGTTGAATATCACTCAGGAAAGAATAAACAAAATATAATATACAGTAAATTTAAATAAACAAGATGGAGTAGGACGAGGAACGGAATAGCATATCCTGGGAAAGAACATGGCTGACCTGTTAGGAAGGGACATTTCACTACAACATTTTGTTGCCAGCCAGTTTGATGTAACTGACTAAACAAACTGTCCCTTGGCACTTGCTTCAATTTAGCACATTTTGTTTTGTTTTTTGTTTTGTTTTTTGTTTTGCTACTTCTTCCTGAGACAAGCCAGTCCTTCACTGAAACTACTGTCCTTACCAGACCACACAATTCTGACAGCATATTGAATTGGAAATTAAGCTTGTGGACATGGGAAATGGGTGTGTGTTTCTCTCCCCCATCCACACCACAATTTTCAGATGAGCCTCCCCAGAAATCCATGAGCTCTTAGGGTCTACATCTTTCATCTCTCCACTACACTTTCTATGCTGGGCTGATATATTTTAAATATCCAAAGCAGAAGCATGTACAAACATGTCTTATTACTAAAACCTAAATAATCTTTGGTTTGATGAGGTTTATTTGCAATGTCTGTCATGAGGTTTTATTTGCAATGTCTTCCAGATGGAGTAACAGAATAAAAATATAGCCATAAAAATTCAAAGTAGAATATACAATTGTGTCGAAATCCAAAATCCTTCAACATACATAGTAGCTAAGAATAAATGAAAACAATAACAATGCGTTACAAGCTATCTAATATTTAGATAAACAGACAGGTCATCAAAATATGCTGAAAGTGTAATAGCATCAGCATGTGTTTCATCTGCCCTCTTTTTTAAGATCATAAGAATGACCTTGCTCAGTCAGGAAAAGGGCCACCAAACTCAATATCCTTTGCAGGAATCACAGCCACCAGTCAAGAGGAAGTCCATCCAAAATTGGTCTCAAGTCCATTTTCTTTGTAATCTACATTTGATTTAATAGGTAGGTAGGTAGGTATGCACTGTCAAGCTGATTCCAACTTATGGCAACTCTTTTTAGGGTTTTTGAAGTAGAGACGACTCAGAAGTAGTTTGCCACTCCTTCCTTTTTGGTGCACCCTGGTACTGTGCAGCTTGGCTATACCTACACAGGCTGGCTCTTATCATAGGAGCCGCAGTGGGGAATCAAATTTGCATCCTTTGGCTCTTCAGCCAGATGCCTAAACCACTGCGCTATCCAGCCAACTTTGATTTAATATAAATTAGGTTAGATTCCATTTTAATGCCCATTCCATCCACATCAGCATAAAAGGACTGTAAGCTTAAAAAACCCTTCACTGATTGCTGCCTTCTTGTGGTGAAGGGGCTTGAATAATTCAGAGAAGCTATGGGCTATGCCCTGCAGGGACACCCAAGAAGGACATGTCATAGTGGTGAGTTCTGACTAAACGTGAGCCCCCTGGAGCAGGAACTGGCAAGCCACTCCAGCATCTTTGCCAAGAAAACTCCATGGACAGAAACAAAAGGCTAAAAGATATGACACTGGAAGATGAGCCCCTCAGGTCGGAAGGCGTCAAACATGCTACTGAGGAAGAGCGGAGCACAAGAACAAGTAGCTCCAATGAAGTGGTTGGGCCAAGGCCGAAAGGACGCTCAGCTGCGGACGTGCCTGGAAGTGAAAGGGAAGTCCGATGCTGCAAAACAGGAGAGGACAAGAATAAACATTGACATCCTGGGCGTCAGTGAACTAAAATAGACAGGAATGGCCAAATTCAATCCAGATGATTATCATATCTACTATCGTGGGCAAGAATCCCGTAGAAGGAATGGAGTAGCCCTCATAGTCAACAAAAGAGTGGGAAAAGCTGTACTGGGATACAATCTCAAAAATGAGAGAATGATTTCAATACAAATCCAAAGCAGACCTTTCAACATCACAATAATCCAAGTTTATGCACCAACCACCAATACTGAAGAGGCTGAAATTGACCAATTCTATGAAGATTTACAACACCTTCTAGAACTGACACCAAAGAAATATGTTCTTGTCATTATAGGGGACTGAAATGCTAAAGTCGGGAGTCAAGAGATAAAAGGAACAACAAGTAAGTTTGGCCTTGGAGTTCAAAACAAAGCAGGGCAAAGGCTAATACAGTTTTGTCAAGAGAACAAGCTGGTCATCACAAACACTCTTTTCACTTCCATAATACTAGGTCTATTTTGGTTCGGTTCTACCATATGTGATCGCCGGGATCAAACCAAAGCAGCTGTTGGCTGTCCCTTCATTGAAGCCACTTAACAATCTTCAGAAATGGGAAGCTTCCTTGCTGCTTGCCTTTGGAGGAGAAGAAAGAGGAAGTTTTGCATTTCTTTTCTACTTGTTGCTAACACCTCAGAAATGCCTTGAAAAGGTTTTTTAAGGCCCTCTCAAAGAATCATTTATGTGCTCTGTCAGTTTGCAACAATTCAAAAGAAATGCAAAGTTTCCTCTCCCTTTCCTTACAAAGGTGAGTGGAAAGGAAAATTTCTGTTTCTCCACAACATTAAGCAGTTTCCCTCTCTGTGCTTTGCCTAAGCCACTTAATGATCTTGAGAAATTAGAAGGTATCCTTTTAAAGGGAAACAACTCTTGATCATGCTTAACAGGATCATTTGAGGTATCATGTGGTTAATCTTTGTAGGTGAATGCAAAGATCAGTCCAAATAATTTAACACCTCTCAGTGATCTTGGCTGATCCAGACTTGGCTAATATGGCTGTCTCGTTGCACCCTAGGTGTGCTGTAAACCATCTACCACCAAGGTCATAGTGGCGATATGCCTTATAAGACCCATTGTTTTAGTTAATTTTTGTTACTTTTATATATATTCTAAGGTGATTTTATACACACACACACACACACAAACAACCACCTTAAAAGTAATAAAGGAATATATAAAACTTGATAAATTCCCATCAAAATGCCTCTAAAATGCTTTAAAATATCTATTAAAATAAACTTCCTCCTAATTAGACAATGGATAAAATCCAAAACTCTGCTCACGAACTGGGATTCAATCCCAGGTAGCCAGCTGAAGGTTCACTCATCCTTCCATCCTTCTGAGGTCAGGAAAATGAGTACCCAGCTTGCACAGGGGGGCACAATGTGTAGCCTGCATAATTAACTTGTAAACTGCCCGGAGAGTGCTTTAAGCACTATGGGGCAGTATATAAGCAGCACACTTTGCTTTATGACTATTTTTATTGTTATTGAAAACTTGAAATCAGGGTGGTGGACCGGGAGATTGGGGTCTTGTTGTTTTATGATGTACACTGCTGGAGTAGTGTTTCTCACTAATTGGATGGTATAGAAATCCAACAAACAATAAAATAAAATAAATTTTATTTATTTATTTATTTATTTGTTTGTTTGTTTGTTTGTTTATTTATTTATTTTATACCCCGCCCATTTAGACTCAAGTCTACTCTAGGCGGCTAACAATAAAAAGTAGCATAAAAGCAGTATAATAAAATAGAGAACAACAATAATAATATCGTTCAAGATGGGGAAAAGATAAAAATAATCAAACGATGACAGGAGGGAAAGCCTTCCTAAAGAGCCAGGTTTTAAGTTGGCTCCTAAAAACACCTAGTGAGGGAGCCATATAGCTCTCTGAAGGGAGACTGTTCCAAAGGTGAGGACAGGAATATATGTGGGACAGGAAGCAACAGTTAGAACGGGATATGGAACAACTGATTGGTTCAAAATTTGGAAAGGAGTATGACAAGGCTGTACATTATCCCCCTGCTTATTTAACTTATACGCAGAATACATCATACTAAAGGCTGGACTGGAGGAATCCCAAACCAGAATTAAGATTGCCAGATATAGCCTCAGATATGCAGATGATACCACTCTGATGGCAGAAAGTGAGGAGGAATTAAAGAACATCTTAATGAGGGTGAAACTGGAGAGCGGGAAACATGGTCTGAAGCTCAACATCAA